GGCGATCTGGATCTGTGTCGACCCATCTTCGTTATCAAATAGCACTAATATTGCGTGACACACCAAATACACAGAACTATGATTACACCTTTCACTTCACAGCACAAGGGTGCAATCCCGCCGCTGCTTCTAATAAGAACTCAATATAAAAACTACACAATTTATTTACGCTTATACAAAACTTCTAATTCCAACGAGACGTAAGAACAGAATGTCCCCTTTTTCAACTTATCCCGTATATGTAACATGATATACCAACCGATCGCCACCCTCAGCCGCCAACGACCTTCCTTTTTTTTGTGGCCAGTCTGGATGCAAGTGTGACCCTCGTTGTTTACTTTACAGTACGTAAACTGCAATCACCAAATTGATGAGAACACATTCCCTACCTATATATCTAATAAAAGTATGATAATGTTTCCAATCACTGCTAAAGAAGTGGTCTCAATTATCAACAACTTACCAAATAAGAAATCTACAGGTTGCGATGGTATAGAGGTCTGTGTTCTCAAGGCAAATGTGGATAAATTAGCGGAGCCAATAACGCATCTAATTAACCTTAGCTTCAAAAATGGTATTTTTCCAAATGCTTTAAAAAAATCTGTAGTAATACCCATACTGAAATCAGGAGATCCCAAAACCGTAGACAACTATAGGCCGATCTCGTTAGTCTCCACTATATCTAAAATATTTGAACGTGCAATAAACCAAAGGCTTATAGATTTTCTAACAAAAATAAATTTCTTCTCTCCACACAAATTCGGCTTTATCAAGGGTCGTGGAACTGAAAAAGCATTGCTGAACTTCATGAGCAGTATTTATGAAAGTGTTGATAGCGGTAAAAAAAAACTGCAGGTATGTTCATCGATGTCCAAAAAGCATTCGATACCTTAGATAAGAAAATATTATTAAACAAACTAGAGCATGCTGGCATACGAGGAATAGCAAACAAATTGTTTGATAGCTACCTCGGTGGTAGAACGCAAACTGTGAGAGTAGGGAATCAAACTGGAAAATACGAAATTCAAAGATCGGGAGTACCACAGGGATGCGTTCTCTCCACAACATTCTTCCTAATATATTGTAATGACCTGTGCAATGGTAAATTTTATGGGAAACTAACAGCCTTTGCGGACGACACAGCACTGGCGTATTCAGCTGATTCGACGCTCGCACTACATAACAAAATTCAGGGTGACACCCATAAAATTTATAATTGGTTTTGTGCTAATGGGCTGTGTTTAAACATTAAAAAAACAAAAGTATTACACTTTAACCTAAAAGATCCCACGTCATACACAAACATGAAACCAATCAAGTTCCACTCAAAAGAATGCGAACTTTCGCAAACGTGTAATTGTCCAGTGGTCAGTTATACGGAAACTGAAAAGTACCTAGGAGTAATCGTTGACTCTAAACTCAAATGGGGGCCTCATATACGTAAATTAAAATGTGACTTGTACACAATAATAAAAAAGTTGTACTACGCAAAACGTTGACAGTATCGTACTCAAGAAATTATATCACACTCTTTTCCACTCCAAAATGCAGTATGGACTGGTCTGTTGGGGTGCAGCGTATGACACTACATTAAAGCCAATAACAAATGCACAAATGCACGTCATACGAATAGTTGCTTCCGCTAGCGTGACAACGCGATCATTTCCCCTATTTCAAAAATTCAACATTCTACCAATAAAAAACCTGTTTGTCTTCAAGGTACTGAAAAAATTTTATAAAAGGTCGGAGAGTTTTAGATTCAAAAAACGTGATATAGGCACTAGAGGCAACTGTAAAAATAAGCTCTTACTACCTAAAGCTAACTCTACCACCTTTCAGAAAACATTTATGTACCTCGGTCCCAAATTACATAACTTCATATTAGACCAAATTCCCATTAACTTAACATCTAAGCAAAGGCAAAAAGAGATAAAAGTGTGACTGTTAAAAGATAAAGAAAATATACACAAAGCTCTATCAATAATTCGATAGCACTTAATGTAATTCCTAACTCACCATTCATTGCGGCTATGTGTTTTAATTAGAAATTTGTATGTAGGTAAACTAGAAACTATTGCTTTATTTTGAATTATTAACTTGTTTTTATTTTTAATTAAGATGGGGCGCTTATCGAATTCCAGTTAAACCAGAAGTGATACCGGAAGTTTCAAAATTCGATCGGATAGATTGTAATATCACATTCTATAATCATTATACACAAATTTTTCGTATTTCTTCAAATAGAAAAGATCTTGAGATCAGCCTCTTATCACAGTGTATGTGAATGAAAATGCTCTTTTTGAAACTTGGAAACACAGCATAATTCTGGAATAATATGTAAAAATTTCGTTGGTACTCTTGGGTAGCTGGTTCTATCATATGCAAAATAATATGAAATTCTATAACATTGACGACGATTTTCGTCAAATTTAAACTACGTTTAGATGAAGCATAGGTTAATATCTATGACAACCAACCATTATCGCAACAGTCAATCATAAAAAAGCATAAAAAACAAAGCTAAAGAAGACGCTGAAAGAAAAAAAAGCTTAAAGAGCCTATTTTTTTTACACAAACCCCGTACGCAAGGGAACACCTACTTGGAAATGACAGAATTAGGAAAGAAGAAATAGTGAGGGTTCGCCCTACCCAAATTCTGGGCTTTGTTAAAGATTTTTTAAGGGTAGACAATACCGGGGAGCACAATATACCAAAAGGTCGCAGTGCAGGAACCGACTAGCACCACCTCTAGTACTATAATAAATAAACAATAATGTTTATTTTTATTTATTTATTTATTTATTTATTATCCCTCTCTTGTTCTGGGCCCTCAACAGGCTTGCGCCCAATTACAGTGACCCGCATAATGCCTTTTAACTTCTTCTGCACGCTGTATTTCAATACTGACGAAATAGATTTTCACATACCAAATAAAACCTTCTATAAAACACTCAAACTTGACCCGATGTGTCTTACTTGTAATAGCTTATCTAAATTAAACAATTACAGCGATAAAATTTAAACAAGTATTACGTATTTAGGTACAAAATATTTCTAAAAATAAAAACAAAAAAAATTTTTTTTTATTGGTACTCTATATTGCTTATTTGAAGTACGCCTCAGCGTGTTTAAATCAAACGCGCGTGTTTTAAAGTTACCATGACAACATGAAAATTGAAGTAAATGTCAACTTTTTAATTACTGATCTGACAGGAATACTTTGCAACTTCAAATCAAATATTACTAACAGATGTTTTCAAATGCACAAACTTGTCGTACTCTCGTTTATATGCGTCTTCTGATTTTTGCGGTATCAACCGCGATTCTGCTTTTCTACTTAAGCAATCAATGTTAAATTAGAATTCATTTTTAAGCATTTATAAGTACATATAACTGTGATGACAACAATAATGTAGGATGTGACAGATTTCAAAATATTTCTTGTTTTTCTCATTTTCATAGCAACAGAAGGTATACTGATTTTATATCACTAATTAAACCATATTTTGTATTAGTTCTTATTTCCATTTTTATGGAATTATGACGATTTTAAAGTGTAGTACGCCGTCGTGCTCGAAAAATCGCGCGTGTTTTAAAGACCTTAATATCCACTTATACTTTAATATACTATTTCGCACCCGTAACCGGGATGCACAAAGATAGTAAACACATTCTTCCTATTGGAATTTCCTTTAAAATTCATATACAATTTCCATAAAAAATGTCAATAATATCGATAATTGATTACATCAATAACTAATAATATCTATAATCGGTATATCTATATCATCAATAATTGATAGTGGATTGCTATTATCGCGCGGCTGTTTTACATATAAAAAAGTTCTGAGTTCTACATCCTATGCCAATGATACCATATGTAAAACAATGCAGAAAGAGGACATAGATCTGTCGAATGCGAAATATTACGCTCTTTATAAAGGTCCTCTAAAAATGTGCAATTCAAAGTGGCAGGCTCTATTCGTCATCACCAATTCGAAACATTATTCAGTATTAATTAATTCCACATTTTTACAAACGTTCCTGAGGTGTTTTTAACAGAGCGCTCTCAACCCCCGTCTTAACACGGTGTCATAATATACGAGTATACTCTATTTGTGTAGCACTAGAATCCACTTTTAAATCTAATCGACTTTTGCTTAACTGGCCTTATTAACCAATACTATCTAAAGCAACATTTGGATTAAATCAAAGTGAATGCACTTGCAATTTATATTTAACTTGCGCTAATAGAATAATTTTGCACTGTAAATAATTAAAGTAATGTTTTGCAATTTAGAACAGGAATTTAGTTGAGTACCAGTGTAATTCTCCAATATAAAATGTGGTAACTAGGTAAACCAAAGTTGAGTGAATGGGACTGTATGTAATATTTATTTTAATCAAACCTTGAGATATTGCTAAAGAGATCCAGTTGTTTCAACAGCTTATAAATCGAAAATTAATATCGTGATGGTTATTAAGGATTTCTAACTGCCACTGTATGTCGAAGACAATGACGCAGCCATACATTACTTAAGGGGTTATTAGCATTTAAAAGGAGGAAATGAACTTTATTATTATCTATAAAATTGGATTATTAAACAGCATTTTAACTTTTGTTTTTATTTAAAGAAACTATTTTATATATTGAACTAAAAAATCTGTCAGATCTTTTCGATGCCTAATAACTTCTTCATTTTGCATTTTGATAGTCATTTCTCTATAGTAGTTTTTTACACTGATAATTCTGAATTTCAAACTAACTAAAACATTCTCAGAGATTTTTGATAGGTAACATTTTTTAGAGAATTGAGTTCTTCCTTCTTCTTGACGTTATTTGTACATAAGTAAACATAGTTACAGAGACATATAAACCATAACAGCCCATTTTTCACGTGTTTGGGCAGACATAGTTAGATATGTTATCTAACCAAAGATTCCTACTCTTAACAAAAATGACTTTGCCTTATATTAATACGAGCTTCTTTTTCAGAATGAGATGGCTGTGCTGGAAGACAATGGAGTTTACGTATTTGCCACAATTGGAGTGATTAGTATATTTTTTTTATTTTTTGATACAATTTATACGTTGCTGCAACTCATTCACGGCATATTAGCTCCGTATTTTGCTCCGAAAGAAGTTCCGCCTTTTAATGAAAAATTTGGACCTTGGGCTCGTAAGTGTTTTGCACATCCTGTGTTTTGTTAGAGGTTACGTTTGTACTACGCCTCTGAAGTAAAAAGATATCATATACCATTATTGAAATTAGCTCCGTTGAAAACTTTATCCGGTACCCAACAAATGATTTTTAGGTTTCAAATATCAGTCCTAAATAACTAAACTGATGATATACCTGGTATAATAAAATTGGTCAACCAATATATATACCAAACGATCTCCGATTAATGAAATAAAAAAATGAACACAATTAACAACTCGATGCTAAAATTTCCGAGTTGCCAAAAGGCCACTGTCAATGTTGAGTCAATTAGACTCAAGTTTTGGCGTTGAGTATTATACGGCCCAAGCTGTTCTCATATTGAATTTCATGCAATTCAGTTAATTACTATAGGAGATGTCAAAAAGGCTTTCCTTATTTTTGTAGCCTACATTGCCAATTCATGAACTCTGATCTACTAATTTGATAAAGAATCGACTTGAAAAATTTCATCTTGTTAATTGGTTCATTGGTTTTCGAGATAACGGACAAACGAACTGACGGACAAACATCGTTTCGTTTTCGCCCGTTACCAATGGGCGAATATGAAAATATAATGAAATTTGGATTAAGGAGACCTGATAATGAAGTCTCCTTTCTTCTGGTGTGATGTGTGGGTGTTTCCGGTTGGCTCCCTTTGGAAACACCCAAACTACCCCTATACTTATTAAATTCAATATTAATATTGTAATAGAGTTTTTTATTCATAATTTTAGTCCCTCTGAGTGTTACGTAGGGATGGTGTTGTGTAATGAAAAATGACTGAGTTAAATATCTCGTAACGTCAGTAACAATCTCTTTAATTATACCATTTTTTTTTCGTAGCACTTGAGCTAAATTGTTTTGTCTAGAGGTCAAAAGAATTGCGTGTGCAGCGTACAAAATTACTACTTCTTTGGTAATCGTGCGATTAAAAAACGATTATGTACTTATTTTTTATTTTGATATTTGTCGTCGCCTTTTATCGGTTAATTCTTTGTTTCCGTTGTTACGCAAGTGTTTCTGACTAAAATTGTTTAAAAATACCGCGTTTGACAGTTAATAATTTAAAATCGTAGTAATAAAAACTTGCCTAGTCCATCGTAATCTGAATTATGTCTATACTCAAAGCGGATCTTCAATCCTTGGACATCTAAGAGCTTGCATAGCTTAAAAGAGGGCAATGGCGGAAATATCGAAGTTAAAGGTAACATAATTTTGCATCTGAATGTTTTGCTACAGGAAAATAGCCGAACCACAAAAAATATTTTGTGAAATTTGAGAATGATTATTGGGTTTGGAGCGCGGTCTTGAGGGCCATAACTTTGCGGTTTTTCCACGATTTTGCCTCCACGGGTTTTCATTACCCTTGCTTCTGGAACTACCTATTGAAACTACTGGTTCTGCACGAATACATTCACCGCAATAAGCTACTCAGTCGGTCGAGACACCTCCAAACTTCAAAGGGTACAAACGTTGAAGGGGTCGGTCCAAAAATCCGTTACTTGTCTTCATTTTTGCGACTCGAAACCTTCCATCATGTTCAGAGTATACCTCTGTAATAACTCCAAGAAGGTATTCAAAACGACGACGATTATCACATCCGACTAACACAACACCTCCAATAGCTGGAGTTGCTCGATTGTTAAAATCCTGATATCCTAAATATTCCTTACGAAATCACTCTTCCACTTTCTTTTTCATTTTTTGCATTACACTATATCAGAGGCCTCTTGATTTCTCCAGGTCAGGATAAATTCCTATTTCAAGGGGCCCAATGAACATATATCTGGTGATAATCCAGGTTTGATCTTCCTAATATCCTCTTGAGATGGTTCTTTACCGAGCGAATTAATCTATCGCAATAACCCCTCAAACTAAGGAGATGCTGATGGAATAACAGTCCCTTCGCAATGCATTCATTCATTTCTTGTCTATTGGATCTTTCATCAATGGTCGCCAAATTCCATAATTCAGTGGGATCTAACGGGGTTGAAAGCAATGAAATTACTGTATTAGTCATACACGTGGTTAACTTTGGCAATCCAGCGTCCATCCAAAGACTAGTTATGACACGAACCCAATAATCGTCTCTGAACAAAATCTGGATACCTGATGGGGATTTTCAGACGTCTGAGAGCATTATTGTTTTTTCTTTGAGTTGATTGAACCAAGGTCCTTCAGAAATGATGTTTCAATAGAGCTCTTACTTTGCCAACAGTTTCAAAACAAAGCGCTTGCTTTCTCCGTGTAAAGGTTTTAGCCCTACTGGGAGCGACAGCCTTCCTCCAAAGACTATATTTGCGAGAAATTCTCAAATTTGTGCAGCATTTCCTTGTTGCGCTGTTCCAGTAGATTCATAGGTCGTTTCTTTCGCTTCACAATAGTGAAGTCACTAAAAATGCAGAAATCCTTCCCCACCACATTTGATAACAATTCGGAAGCTGCGGGAACAGGATCTCGTTGAATATTGCTTTTATTCTGACGTTCTTCCCTCCCACCATTCGATTTTGATTGTTGTTGTGGTCGTGTAGTTGACTGAAACCCCTCACGTGCAAGTGAAATCCGCATTTCATTGCTTACTTCTTGTCGCTGAAGTCTCTAAAAAAATCCAACCTTGACTTCTGCGACACCAATTGAGATCCGAAAGTGGACTTCTCGGGCCAGCTCGAAGTAATGACTCGGAAATTCTTGATTCGACTAGGGAGTATAACCATATCGCCAATTTTCAAGTGTGCAAACTGTCAGTCTCAGACAATGGCAATTCCTCTTTGTTGTTTACGTTGGTGATGAGCTGGAGAAGTTTCCGAACGTAAACTTGAAGCAGAAGGTTCGTTTGGGCATACTGAACTTTTATCGACTCCACTGCACCGGTAATCGAGAACGCCTTTAGGATTCAATGAGGTTCGGTTTCAATTTCCGTGCATTGCGTCCAGATTCTCGTTATTAATTTGTTGTAACTGCGGCCACCACCCAAGTCAGCTTTCTAGTTTCCCCTCAAATTTAGGGAGTTTTACAACAGGTAGCTTCAATCGCCTCTTCTCGTGGTAAATTCCAGCCTCGGGCGGTCTAGCTTCAATCACGGTAGCTGTGGTCGCCAACGCTCCTTCCATTTGCCCTTTAAGTATGTGAAAAATGAAGATACAGGAATCTTGACTCTCTACTCCAAATTCAGTTCCTCCTCCGAAGCATCTCCCCCCAAAAGCATCCAATATCTGAAACACGTTTGGTAAGTCTCGAATACTACTCTTTGACCCTTCGAGAATCGCAGTCAATCTTATTTCTCGGGATCTGGCTCAGCTTCTTCTTCAGCATGTTAGCTGTGGGCGTTGACCTCAGTTTCTTGAGTGCCTCCATCGTTTTGTCCCTTACTTACCAATTATCTCAGCGGAAAACCTGTTAAATCTCCTACTGATATATTACCCCAAAAATTATAAGCCTAGATATTTTATGATTATTCAAGTAACAAATGGCAGATTTACTGTTGAACTGAAACAATTGGGAGGATTTCCGTCTCGTTGAATGCGGTTTTATACAATATGCAACCAATTCGAACTTTTCTGCCGATTGAAATTACGCAACTCACGATCAGTCAAACGCTCATGTGATGCGGCAAGTATTACCAATTTCAGTAATTATAATTTCTAACATCACGTGAAGGTAGGTATATGGCACAATGTCAATGTAAATCGATTACTTCATTTACTTGGAACACAACGTTGCGCGAGTTGCAATCGAGGTTGCAATGATGAAATCACTTTAGACTAAATTACAAAAACGCGTTGCAAGACCTCCTTTTTTGTAAACCTAGAAACGTTCATTGTCATCTTCGGACGTTTTATGTAACTCTTATCCAGCGGTAGGTATCAGGTTGGTATTAATTTTTACGGAGAGAGTATGATTACTATAATTACTTAACAAGGTCAACCTTTAGCCAAAGACGCCAGATGGTTAATCTGTACTTTTTTCTCATTAAATGCTATCATCGATGCATATGAATACAAATAAAGAAATACAAAGTGCATTTTCGAAATAATATGAAAAGTTTTTTCAATAAGGACCATTTATTCGGTAAATGTTGGGTAAAGGTTTTAACCTTTTAGAAAATGCAATTTTGCAGTTATTGACTTATAATGGGACGTGACGTTCGACTTCTTCGTGATGTAATAGACATGGATGATTTCTCCTTATACAAACAAGTAGATACTTGAAAGACCTTTAAGATTTCTCTACTTTCTTTAAACATTTTTTTCATATTATTTCCATAAATATAATACTGCCTTGTGTAACATTCACGACTGATGGTTTATTATGTTTATAGACAATATCCTCCAAATGAGTAAACAAAATGTGTGTGGTAAAAGTGTATCCCAATTTGGCTTAAATTAGGTACTTAATCTAAATGTTAGCCCTCATTTGCCTTGTTGCCATAAAATATACAGTAGTAGACATTACTGAGAGGAGAATAAAAGAGATAGGTTCCTGTTGATGATATATTGATGATATGTAAGTAAAAGTCAGTGATTATTGAAGAGCATAATGCGCATCAAAGAAATTCGATTATGAATATGAAATTAAAATGTTCTTCAAACCTTTTAGGTTCGTACCATCATCAAAAACAGTAAAAAGAGAAAATAATATATTGTAGTGGCTCAAAAGCGAGGAACTAAACTTAAAGGCATTTAAGGAATTAAAAGGGAATTGAGACATTGAATGGAATTGAGCTTCATATGATTATGTCCCAGGGATGTCCAGTAAGAAATCCGCTGTGTCTATTATGTGCTTTTCGTAAATAAAAATTGTAAATTTACTCCGGATACTGCAAAGGTGAGCGAATTGTGGTAGTTCGACAAGAAGCAGCGTTTATTGAGATAAAAGCTGCTTATGTAGTACAAGTTTCTCCATGACTATCCCTGTTTCATAAATAGAAATAAAGATGTAGAGCATCTAGGGCTCAATATTTTTACTGAGAGTGTAGA